CTAGCAATTTACGTATGGATTTTCTTACAATCCTAACGACACGTACGTTCAACCTTTTGGCAGGTATCTCGCTCCATAGAGGTGTGGCTTGAAGCAATGAGTGAGGTATTTAAAGAGAAGTCAAATATTTGTATAATTAAACCAAGATTGACCACAGCCTGTCATTTCCAATGGGAACAAATGAGTCATAGTGGGCAGAACAAGCAAGGGGGTAGGCAGAGCCAAGCGCGAGCTAGCAAGATCCTATTGGCGCGTTCTAGCATACATCTGCATATTTCCATTAGGGAACGCCTGCTTTGTGAAGTGCGCGTGTGCAATAGTTCAATTTGCATTTGCACTCCTTCTAAACAACACGACTTTTAAAAACTTTTGCAAAGGGTAAAGTCTACAAAACGTAGTCCACTCTGTTCATAACATATTCTAGTTTTGGGAACATAACTGTATTGAGATCAAATGTTTCATCGATGAGAAAATGTGCAGAATGTCTGCCAAAATCAATCTCGTTCCATCTTCTCCCACTGCCAGCCAGTGGGCTTCCTCTCACTACCATATTTGGTAGTGAGTGGATAAGCCAAGCGGATGCTTCACATTTATACATCCGGTGAAATATCTGTTTCATTGTTCTATCTGTGGGGAAGTGGCCGTGCTGACAGCGTTCCCCAACCCACAACCCAACCGCTCCCCGTTTTTCAACTGGTCGTTCAGTACAGCACCGTTTCCGTTGAATTGAACGTTCCAGAGCGTACAAACGTACTGAACGCAGCCCATGCCTCCCGGTGTGCATCGCTCAGAATTAACTAACCAATCATGTGGGAGTTATTGTGTCAGCCAATCGGCAATGAGAATACGCTCTTCCTGAAGTTAGATCAAAGATGGACGATAAATGAAGATTCATTCAAGACGTTTTCCGTCGGAAAATATGGTCAGTTTCGGTCTACTTAAGGGGGTGGCTCTCCCGTAGACAGTACACCAATGCGATAGCAGCAGGGTCTAGTCTACTTAGTTCATCGACTTCCATTAAAACAGAAAAAATGAGGGAGTGGGATGTCTCGCTTCATCTTCCGTCTCTGGTGTTAGGTTGAGAGCCCAAGATAAGGGGTGAGTAATAAAATGTTATCTAGGTTAGCTAAATAATTACATTAAAAAAGTATATTCAAATTAATATTATTGTCAGATAAATGTTCTTGTTGGCATATTTCATCACATCTCTGACGCATATTTACCTGTTCAGCGAGTGTACTGACCGTTTCCCGGCATTGTCCGTCCCATCGATGTTTGCTAGCCAAAATTAGTTAGCTATTTATTTAGCTCGCTCTACAGTAGCCAGGCCAAACATATTTTGACGATTTCACAAGTATAATCTAAATCAATAAATCATCGTTTTTGGGCTCATTCAGTAGGCTCATTCAGTAGTTTTGACCTGCTTAAATAAAATTATGTTAAATAATGTTAAAAGTACCATTTATATTCGTAAAACATACATTGAAAATGATACTGTTACTGCTTCATGTTGTCATGTCTTTTTGATTTATGGCTGAGTTGAGGGTCAAAACACCGGTTTTAAGTGTGCAAATTCATAATTGATATGCTGAAATAAATTGTTATATTTTTAAGACAAATACATAAAAGTTAATCCCTACACACTGTTCAGATTACTTGTATTTCGCTAAATGAGTACCGTATAAACTGCACACGCACCAATATTTACCAAGCGGTCACTCAAAACTGGAATTAATTAGCTTTGTTCTACTGTAATCAATAGCGCGCGCAAATTAATCACTCACATGGATATTGTATTGAAATCAACGGAACTGGGACAATAACCTTGGTGACGTCTACCGTTTGCGCTTCTTTAACAGACAAACCTCAATGAACTTGGGTATACTGCTTATATTTGTCAATAGATGACAACCTGTCGTAGCCATTTATCAATTTATGTCTCTGTGAGAATTTTGTTTCGGTAGATGGCCAATACGGAAAAGGAAACAGAACACTTTTGACTGGATAATTTCAACTAACCACCACCCTCACATCGGTTTCTAAAAGTACGAAAATGTATGCACTCCCTACTATAAGCCGCTCTGGATAAGAGCGTCTGCTAAATAACTAAAATGTAAATAGTGGCAGGGGTTGGCTTTCGTTTGAATGATAGCTTAACCCTCAAATCCAAGAATTCATGTCAGGCTAGAGACGTTTATGGGAGGAGCGGCCGATTTTTTGGTCTAAAAAGTACAGCTGCGTTCAGTCTCATTACGGACTGGCGCATATGACAAAAGCAGTAGTTTTAAACCAAATATATTGATCTGTTTTTAAAGGTGCTAGTCAGAATTTTTTAATTACATTTTTGCATTGTACTTTCAGAAAATGACCATAATATCTGGCGCTAATGGAATGATAGTGTTTCACAGCATTACTTACCCAACAGGGTTGTGATCGATATTCGCCTATTGATTTCTCCCACAGGAGTGGCATCTGTAGTGAAAATGGGAAAGATTTTCTGACTTTGTGGCTGTCTTATCTAGTGGAAATTGCTCTGTCATTTCCTGTAAGCAAAAATTCTACACTGTTCGCTCAATTTCAGTTTTAAATCGGTGTGAAATTTATTTTCAATAACGAAAAAAATCGTTTTTACAGCCGTTTGAAGATGGTGGACCAAAACCAAAAGTAACTTTAGGTCCACCAGCTTCAAACAACTGTTTTGGACTACCAGCTTCAAACAGCAGTAAAAACTATATTATTTGTTATTGAAAATATATTTCACAGCGATTTAGATGATTACACACATTTACTTTTATTGCAAATTGATAAAACAATTACAAAGGAGAAAAACATCAAATTCGAATGAATACAAGTATATATAGAAATGATTTCCTATACTATTCAGTAATTGTTTTCTCACATAAATAGAAATTGAGCGAACAGTGTAGAATTTTAGCAACCAGGAAACGACAGAGCGACCCGACCAAATTCACATAGAAATGTGAGTTATAGATCTGTCATTCTCATTGAAAGCAAGTCTAAGAACTAGTAGATATGTTCTATGTGCTCTATTTCTATGCTTCCTTAATTTTCGTTTTTGTGTCTTTTAATTTTTGTTTTTTATACCAGCTTCAAACAGCTGAAAATACAATATTTTTGGTTATGAAAAATATATTTCACAGCAGTTTAGATTCTCTTCACTATACTTGCTTGTTTTTTCACATAAACTGAAATTAGGCGAACTAATAGAAAGTTAGCTGTAAAAAGGAGATACAGTTTTCGTTTTTGCATGCCTTTAATCCGACAGGAAATAACACCACTCTTGTAGCTAGTTAGGTTACATTTATATTCTGTTTAAAGGCGAATTGGCTCTGGAAGCCAAAACAGCCAAATACTTCCATCTAAACGTGAATCGATTCTCAATTGCGGTACGGTTCTAGAAACATAAATTCCTCTACTTTCATATCAAATCAAAATAATTTCACAAATGCAAGATGCACACTTACTGTTTTAACACAGTTGCAGCCGACAGTATTTTTCAGTGACACATTTTTTCTGGCATCTATCTTCCGTTTACACAGGTGTTCGAAGATGCAGATAGCTAATTAGCACAGGTAGTCCACTCTTTCTTCTGTCTTTTTTCCGTAAACAAGTGCTTTAAGCATGGAAATATGGCTGTCTGGGAAACCTAACCCTATAAAGGTGTGTATCAATTTAACCTTTAGTTTTTTGACAATTATTTCTTGCTGATATGAAAGATAAGGTCTTTATGCTTCCAAAACCGTACCGCAAGCGATGCGTGTTAATGTTCAAACCGAGCATCGGGGCTCTTAACAAAACTCACCCGTACAGAAGATGCCTTCGTCCAATGACTTTTATGTGTAATGTAATGGAACTGAGAGTCATGATCAAGAGCTAGGTTAAAAATGTAGAATGACAAACTGCAGATCTGATATAGTTCCGTCCTTCATATAACCATATTCCTCTGACAAACTCAATGAGTGAGTATAAAGTACTAATACCTCCCTAGACGTGTTTTCAAATCCTATGTAATGTATCCCACTTGCAGATCAATCACTGGGATAACGATATCATGGGAGGTGTGAAGCAGGAGCAGAATGATGGACCTCCACCAAGAGGCATGCAGTCCTCAGATGCAGCACAAGAAGAGGCAAGAGAAGGGGAAATGACCTCATACATACTGATATGAATAACAGTACTGTCTTACTCTGTGTATACACAGACTACCCACTGTATGATTATCTCATTGTTTCTCACATGTTGCTACCATGCTATGAACTGATCTAGCTTAAAGGCCCAATGCAACCGTTTTTATCCTAATATCAAATACTTTCTGTGTAACAATGAAGTCCCTTACCGTAATGATTTCCATTAAATTGGTCAAAAAGAAACATAAATAGCTTTTTAACAAAAACTATTTCTCAAGCAATAATTTTGCTAGGACTGTCTGGAGTTATCTGAGTGGGGAGGGATATGTAATGGTTAGTGCAATCCAGGCTCCTTGGTACATCTCAACCATAAACCTTAACCATTTTACATTTCAACTTCAATGGGGTGATGTCAGATTTTGACATACCAAGGATCCCACTTAGACCTTTCCGTTACGTAATTTAAAAACTAGCGGTTTGGAACTCTCTTAGTTATTGGTCTGTATTAACTTATACCGCCTGGTGATGTCACCAGGCAAGCCAAAACTCCACCCATGCAAAACCTGCTGATTAGAAGGTCCTGTGTAGATTGTGTTTTCAACCAGCAACTATCAGGAAATAACACTGATCAAATGTCTTTACAGTGTTAGCTTCATCAGCTGTTGTACAATATGATACAAAACACATGAGAAACAGAATTTTGACTGCACTGGGCCTTTAAATGGGAGAAGAGCATATAAACATTGTGATGATGATGTCATGCTATATTTCCTAATTCTTGATACACACTTTCACATGGCTATCATTTTATCCTTTCATCCTGGATCACATGTCCTTTCTCTTTCCTTCCAGCCTGTGAAGAAGAGAGGTTGGCCCAAGGGTAAGAAGAGAAAGAAGGTGTTGCCCAACGGTCCCAAGGCACCAGTAACAGGATATGTGCGCTTCCTGAATGAACGGCGGGAGCAGATCCGTGCCAAGCACCCAGACCTGCCCTTTCCAGAAATCACCAAGAGGCTGGGCGCGGAGTGGAGCCGCTTGGCACCTCATGACAAACAGGTACCTTCAGGCTTTATGGGTTGGAAAGAGAAATGTAGTTGTAGGAACAATTACACACTCTTTTGCCCCAGGCTTGTATTTAGTATTTAGTGGCAGTGCATTCACTAGCATTATGCATAGTTATATTTATATGAATATTTATAGGCTAGCCAGATCTGTTTGATAAGCCCAGGTAGGCCTTCAAAACTACAGGCTATCATGTTGAGGAGAAGCCTGGGAATGCAAGCTACCATCAGTGTATTGAGATATCTTCTGCGTGTGTCTGGAGTGGACTAACGTTTGCTTGTGTGCTGACCTGACAGCGCTTCCTGGATGAGGCGGAGCGAGAGAAGCTGCAGTATGCCCGGGAGTTGAGAGAATACCAACAAAGTGAGGCCTATCAGATCACCAGTGCCAAGATCCAGGACAAGAAGGTCAAGAGAGGTCAGAGTTGTGACACATCTACCTTCTATTTCATTAGTTTGACAGGGTGGTTAAAACTGTTCCTTTCAGTTTTTATGTATTTTGTTCATTTTTCTTCTTTTAGCGTTTAAATAATGTTCTCTTTTATTTCAGAGGAGTCTCCATCTGTCATTATCAATGCTAACAGTTCTGGATCAGCTGCTCTGAAGGTACAGTTATCCTTACATAATGTGTTGTGTTTCTGAATAGGTGTTATGAATAGGCTTACTTCTGAGTTTGTGCCATGTTTTTACGGGTTGATTTGTTTTGAATTATGTCCTCTAGGGTTCAGATCATCTGTCCAACAGATTTGATGTTCCAATATTTACAGAGGAATTCCTGGACCAGAACAAGGGTATGAGACAGGCAGAGGAGCGTCTCTGGGACAAACACTGTTTCAGTGAAGAAAGTACAAACGATTTCCTTACTAATGGTTGTTTCTTTGCTCCCAGTCCGGGAAGCGGAGCTGCGGCGTTTACGCAAAGCCAACGTGGAGTTCGAGGAGCAGAACGCAGTGTTGCAGAAGCACATTTCAGACATGTACAGCGCTAAAGAGAGACTGGAAGCTGAACTGGGGCAGGATGAGCTCCGGACGCAGGCTCTGCACAGGCACCTGCTGGCCATCAAACACACCCTCGTCAGCAGCCTGTCCACTGTGGCCCTGCCAGGTCAGCACCCTGTCACTGGGCCCTCTCATCCATCTCGGACCCTGATACTTAGCCCAGTCTCCCTGTATGATTTGGCTGCTTTTACTTATGTTAAGTTTCCTTACCTTGAAAGTAGTTTGTAGACGTAAAAACATAAAATGACTTGTCCTTAGCAAGACATTTTGAAACATACAAATTCAGTTCTAATGTTTTCAAATGATTTTAAACTACAATTTTTTTTAATTTTCTTCCATCAACCCCCAATCTTATTCATATAGGAATTGAATCCTTAGTTTCACTACACTTTGTCTCCAGGCACAGGTGAAACCCCCTCTCTTGGTACCCTGGACTCTTACCTGAGTCGCCTGAGTGGTACTCTGGAGAGCAACCCTCATGAGCACCGTGTCTTGCTGGCTCAGCTCCGTGATGTCCTTTCTCACCTTGACAGGTAACACACCTGTGAGAAGATCTAATACCTTGAGATGTACTGAGTTATGTCAGGGAACATAAATTACCTACAGTCTTGTGCATTACCATTCATCTATAATGTTGTGTCAAATTTAAATGCTTGCTAGATCTGTGTGCATACAGTACAACAACTTACCTTGTTGTTTATGGATGATCACACTTTTCTAATAGTCTTATCCCTCTCTTAATTTTCAGTGAGAAACTATGAGAAGACATCCACACCCATTCCCACTTGTTGTGGATCCCAGATGGTGCAACGACAGGTCCAATCATTGCCTCTCGCAGTGAAGTCAAGCGATAGGTGGGATGTCTATCTGATGTAACAGATAGATTACAAACAGAGAAAACACAAGGCTCAGTCCATATACCATTACTCTGTGGTACATCTGCATGTGTGTACAGTCTTGTACAGTTTTGGTGGTGAATATAAGCCTTTGAGGCTTGGTGTGAACAGTCATTATGTAAAAACTGCCTTAACTGTTTCCATCTGTAGTTCATTTGGTTTGTTAAAAGTTAAACGGAAGAAACAGTTGACATGCCTTTTATGGCATTTGGAGTGAATTACGTGTTTTCCAAGTGTTTTCACTTGAAATGAGGTTGCGGAAGTGTACGGGTGTCCAATGAGAGACAAAATGAACTGGCAAAGGTTATAGCAATGTTTTCAGAATACTTTTTTGTAATGTCATTGATATTAGTTTTGTAGTGGGCAGTTTTGGATTAAGGGATTTATGTTGTGGTTTATTTGTATTCATTCGAATTGGATGTTTTTCTCCTTTGTAATTGTTTTATCAATTTGCAATAAAAGTAAATGTGTGTAATTTTCCGGATGTCATTAAGGATGAATGTGAAGCACATAGAGCCTATAGTGATGCATGGAGGTTGTTGTCTGAAATGGCCTGATGACTCAATAGCTGTAGATAGCACCTGCTGGCCCCACTTTACAATGGACAGAAGTACAGAAAAACAGATTTTGGACTGACTTTCTAGATCCCCACCAGAGGGTGGTATAGCTCCAATTAGAAACATTGTCAGTTAGCTTGATAGGGTTCTCCTCAGTTTCTTTAAGTTTGAATTAATGTAATAATTTTCCATTCATGGATTTACTTTTCAATCCACTCTCAGTATTGACAGATTGAAGTGGTTTAGATCTACTTCATTCACTGTAGGCCTTTCCCAGTGTGTTTTTACTATAGTAACACTTGATTAAAGTGACAATCAGCAGTATAAACGATAACAAAGTGTTTTCCCTGTCCCTGTTTCAAAAGCTGAGTGATGGGGCTGGAGAAATGTAACCACTCAAATTCATAGACAGCTATGGATGCAAGGAATGAACATCCATGATATCTATAGAGTGTTTGTTTACAGACATTGGAGTAAAACAAGCTTATATTTTGGGTTCTGATGGGGTGAGACAGTTGAATTAAGCTAATGAGGCATTTATAAGTTATATTCTTCAAGAATCAATGGGTGCATATCATTAATGTATAAGTAAAAACATTTACAGTATATAGCAAAACAGCTGATTGCCCCTTCAAGGACAAAACAAATACATTCCAATTGCCTCCTCAAAGTATGCCCTGTAATAGGTGTTTCTAAAAGCTTGGGATTGGAACAAGGAGAGGCAGACTAATTCTAGGCACATAATATAATTATGTCAAGGTGCAAATGGCATGTAAGATATTGAATAGGTTACTTCTCTACTTTAATGTATTCGTCCCTGCTTTTTTTACACAAAGTACGCACTAGGGCTTGTCTACTTGCTTGTAGTCATTCTTGGTAGTGGACTTGAAGAACCTTTATAATCCTATTTTAGGTCCAGTTAACTGAGGTTAGAAGATGCTGTTGTCTACATTTAGGATTTTCAGCGGTGCCACGAAACGTTAAGGTGAAGTGTTCCGACTGCCAAACAACATTGGTCCATCCCTTCAGCACTACCGTGACGTCAGTCTCGGGAACTGTCCTTACTGTGGTGGTGCTGAACAAGATGGCTGTGAGTCGGGGAGCGGAGAGCTCCAGACTCAGCGGGTGAGAGGGAAAGGGGACTCGAACAGTCAGATGTTTTTTTTTTACTGTCACATAACAGTGACACAAAATATCTTAGAGTTGAAGCGGAGCTGACTACATCCACCTATTTATACAGGCTATAGAGACGTATATCTACTCCGGATTGAAGCAGGTGGACATCTGGGAGCGATCATAGCCAGAGCAAAGAGATGTCATTGCTGTGTGTTGGAGGTAAGTGATAAAAATAAACATATTTAAAGCTTGCGGTAGCCTACTGGCTGTCGAGAGAAATGCTCTTGTTTAGTCGGTTAACCAGTTGCTTCGCGGGAAGTTTTCTTCAATGAATCTCATTGCAGCTGATTCTGCTATAAAATGTCTCAATTGTGGTTTGTAAATTAAGGCTTAATACCACATTTGATTTAAGTTGGCTGTTGTCAAATTCATTTGAAGAGAATACGCTGACAGTGCGTTTGTATTCTGTGACCAACATTTTATGGTTGTTTAATTGGTCTAATTCTTCTTTTAATTATGTGATTGCTTCTTTATCACTAGAAGACATAATAGGCTACCACTGTCATTATAAACACTTTGATTGTCATAAGCCTATTCACCGCACCAAATTATGCTTTGAACAGAATTCGAAAACATATTAGGCCTGTGGTGTCAATGTCTGACTTATAGTAGATAGTCATATTTACCATATCCCTTCACTAGACTTTGGTTTAAGGTTAATTGGCTTAGTAGTACAGTAATATTAAAACGAGTGCTTCCCGCTGTGCACTGTTGTTTGTGATATTTTTGTTTAAGCCTATCCCAAATCTTAACCCTTACCTTAACCATTAGGAGTAAGGCCTAACCTTAAGAATTCGTAGTTAATGCCTAAACATAACCTTAGAACGATACAGAGAAGTAACCAAACACTTCGAAATTTGACACTGTACACGGATGAACGTCTAATTCTGAAGTGAGAGCTTGTTGGTGTTATCACTGTGCTTCATATAATAGCACAACCAAATGACTTGGATTGTAGTTGAGATTACACCAAACTACATACTGCAAGTGATCAACGCTGTTAGAGATTCTGCACAGATAGTTATATTGTGAAGATCTCCACGGACCTGCGACCTTTGCATGCTATCTTGAACATGCACGCTTTCTATGATTACATAATAAGACTTTTATAGTTAAAGTAACCTCAAAATGTGGCCATGGATGAGGTACTCATTTTAAGGTTGAATAAAAACTCTTACATTAGTTTGTAACATAGCCTTAACTTTAGGCTATTTACTGTATTACAAAACTAATATCGAATTGTGTTAGGTTGACCAAGCAACCAAATATCAACATTTAAAGGAGATGTATCTAATTCTTGGATAGTTTCATCTAAACCACTGGCTTAATCATATTCTTTAACTTTTGTTTTTGTTTTAGTTGGAGAGGTGAATCCAACATATAATTTGTTAACTTGTCAACAAGTTAATACACTATTTACTGTATTGCAAAAGTGTTTGGTTGTCAACGCAACCAAATATCAACATTGGAAGGAGATGTATATTTTGTGCCACTGACTTAGTCTGACTTTAACTCCAGTTTGTCTACAAATTAATAATTGATATGTTGGATTCACGTCTCCATCTCAACCTAAAAAATCTAAGTTAAAGAATAGGACTAAATCCTATCAAATCAAACTTTAAATGCACTTTAATAAAGTTTGATTTGATTTAGTCCTATTCTTTAACTTAGATTTTTGGTTGAAATAGAGACGTGAATCCAACATATTCATTATTAACTTGAAGATTAAATTTGACATCAACCAAAGCTTGAAACTCTAGGCCTATATGTATTGTCTATCTGTTGTTGAAACCTGGGTTGAATTGAAACAGTAGATGTTGATGACTTCGTAAATGCTATATACAGTTGAAGTCGGAAGTTTACATACACATTAGCCAAATACATTTAAACTCAGTTTTTCACAATTCCTGACATATAATCCTAGTAAAAATTCCCTGTCTTAGGTCAGTTAGGATCACCACTTTATTTTAAGAATGTGAAATGTCAGAATAATAGTAGAGGGAATGATTTATTTATTTCAGCTTTTATTTCTTTCATCACAATCCCAGTGGGTCAGAAGTTTACATACACTCAATTAGTATTTGGTAGTATTGCCCTTAAATTGTTTAACTTGGGTCAAACATTTCAGGTAGCCTTCCACAAGCTTCCCACAATAAGTTGGGTCAATTTTGGCCCATTCCTCCTGACAGAGGTGGTGTAACTGAGTCAGGTTTGTAGGCCTCCTTGCTCGAACATGCTTTTTCAGTTCTGCCCACACATTTTCTATAGGATTGAGGTCAGGGCTTATTGATGGCCACTCCAATACCTTGACTTTGTTGTCCTTAAGCCATTTTGTCACAACTTTGGAAGTATGCTTGGGGTCATTGTCCATTTGGAAGACCCATTTGCGACCAAGCTTTAACTTTATGACTGATGTCTTGAGAAGTTCCTTCAATATATCCACATAATTTTCCTTCCTCATGATGCCATCTGTTTTGTGAAGTGCACCAGTCCCTCCTGCAGCAAAGCACCCCCACAGCATGATGCTGCCAGCCCCGTGCTTCATGGTTGGGATGGTGTTCTTCGGCTTGCAAGCCGTCCCCTTTTTCCTCCAAACATAACTATGGTCATTATGGCCAAACAGTTCTATGTTTGTTTCATCAGATCAGAGGACATTTCTCCAAAATGTCCCATTGTGCAGTTGAAAACTGTAGTCTGGCTTTTTATGGCGGTTTTGGAGCAGTGGCTTCTTCCTTGCTGAGCGGCCTTTCAGGTTATAATAATAATATAATATGCCATTTAGCAGACGCTTTTATCCAAAGCGACTTACAGTCATGCGTGCATACATGTTTTGTTTTTTTTGTGTATGGGTGGTCCCGGGGATCGAACCCACTACCTTGGCGTTACAAGCGCCGTGCTCTACCAGCTG